GAACTTCAGTGAACCCCTTACTACTGCATTAGGTGTTTAATCAAAGTCTCTGAGGCACTTTCCATCAAAAGTATCTATTTATTTATAAAAAAGAATGGAGAGAAAAATAGACCAAAGTGCTTTTTTCTATAAAAGACAATTCCTTGGAGGTTGAATGTCCTAGACCTGAGTATACATGGCATTGCAGTCCATAGCTGTAGATGGCTGATCCAGATCTGATGTTGAATACCACGGAAATTTGGAATTAGAAGGTCAGCAAGATATTTTTCCACTGATGACTAAGGGACTTAACCACACATCTCTTACAGATTTCAGTTAGAGATGTATGGCCAAAGGCCTTCAGTGGCTTTAAAGTTCAATCCAAAGAAGAAAAAAAAAATAATATAATTTTTGACTCTAGACCTTAAATTGCCTCACTGTTGGAGCCCATCTCTGTACAAAAGAGAAATGGTCAGACCCTTACACTGCTTTACACTGGATATCTCACCAATTTACATGTACACACTCCAGCATGTGGGTTAGGCTGAAGAAACCCTCTTGACTCCCATTCTACTATCTCCTTGGTTTAAGGTGTGCAACACCAGAGGTTCATGGCTATACCAGAATTTTCAGTTAAATTAAATCAGCAGTTGACATGAATTCGAGGCTCCTCATTGCTGTACACGCTTACTTGTGGTTTCAGGGTCTGTGGGCAGCTGCCAGGGTGTGACTTGGAGGTGGCCCTAAAGTACCTTTTGAAACTGCAAAGGGGAAGCCACACGGTGACCTAGGCAGTAGGACAGCTTCTCAATGCTGAACCAGATTTTGAAATGAATGGCAAAATTAACAGGTAAGGAAAAATTCCACAATTTCCTCACTCTGGGGAAAGACCTTTGTCTGGAACAGTCTGAACAAGTAGTTTCCCTCAGCTCTAAGCCTACACGCTTTTTTGGCCTTTTGATTTCCGCATCTTGACAGTGGTGCAAAGTATATTCTGTTATCTGCCTCAGCTTCCCCCAAATTTTGAAATGGATACAGTTCTGAGACTTCCCACCTATGAAACTCCAGCTAACTGTTTTACTTGGAGGCTCTCATTTTTTCATAAAGCTCTGTAACCTGCAGTGCTGTGACATTAGCACCCATTTTGCATTAAAAATAACCCAGATATCCATCTCTTCGATGGCTGAAGCTGAAAATGGAAACCTGGAAAGTGTTACTACAAGCTGTCGACATTTGTTTTTAATTTGACTTGCTATGATAATCTGGAAGAAAATTTTGATTTAAGGTGGTGTTTGTGATTTTTAAGTGCTTCCAATCAATAATGCTGAACCTTTTCCTTATTTTTGAGTCAAGTACTGTTTTCACCTGACAAACTGGTCCACTGCAAGCAGTTGTGGCATGTCAGAACTGAAGCTGCTGGAAGAAGCACCTTCCCTATCTGCTGTGATGGTGCATCGTCATCTTCAGCAGATGAGTTAATCTATAGTGTATTTTTAACAAGCATCTAAAAGGGTTAATGTCGGCCTTTCACTGACTCTGCCCTCCAGGAGTTTGATATTTTTCCTTCATGACAATTTTGTACTAGGGCATACTCTGAGGTTTACTTCTATCAGATGCCTCACGTCAAAGTGTATCTGGTGAGCATTTTAACTTTCACTCTCCTCTTTTGTTATTATCTGTTTGAACGCTGTAGCTCATCTATGCCAAAATAAATAATTCGAATTCTCCTTTGGATGGCTTTTTTATTCTTTCTGGCAGACTGAAAGGAGCCTCCTTCAAATCTGAAACATTGCTAAAACTACAAAAACAATCTGTACCACAAAAAAAGCCCTCTTGGATCCCTTCAGTGCGTTTTGGCCTGGTTTCTGCTGTTTGTTTTATATTTTGTCTGTTTCATTTTTTATATGCAACTGATTAGCAACTTTATTTGCTTTTAATATTGTCTGCTGGTTTGCTGCATGTTTGGTTCTGAAACACCACCACCCCCCAAAAAAATTTTTTTTTTTTTTTCAGACATACCTCAATACATAGAAAAGGGCTGTTACAGGATAAGGCCAAATTCACGAGCAGCAGCACTGCCTATGGCTTATCTCACACCCTAGACATTAGCTAATCGATATAAATAGTAGTAAGTCACTTGCATGTCTGGCATCTGAGTAGGTGCAATATGTGCACAACTAACTTTGCACAGGCAAGGAAGAAAATACTAGTGTGCTCCTCTTCCAACAGCGTGACAGGCAGGCAGTCACCAGGGGTGCTTATTATAGCCCTTGTCTAGCATATAGCACTGAGTTTCTGGTGTATCAGCAAGGATCCCCAAAACATCTAGCTCTTTCTTCAGTTCCACTCATTGTATTACTATCCGAGGTAAAGACACGCCTCTGATTTCTTCAACAAATCTCTGCTAATGTTTTTTTCCTTTTCAGGTGCTGCTTCTTTCCCTGCGTGATGCGAGTTCTCTTCTCTTTGCACACTGGTGTAAAACCAATGGAGAATCTTCTGGGTAAAACAGAAGTGAATTCAGGTCAAGCCCCAGCCAAATGCCAAATCAATGCAAACGACATCGTGTACTCACAATCCGATTGATGTGCTTCATTCTAAGGCTTCTGTGAAAATTGTCTCTATCTACATTTGTGCTAGATAATACTAAAAAACCCTCTACTCTTTTAGCAGGAAGGAGTCTGCTTGAGACCAGAATCGAGTTTTCACTGCAGGTGATGATGATGATGACCGATCACAGAAAAGAAGGTATGAAACAGCCAGTGCTATGGTTCCCAAAACATGCCATGTGCTCAAGACAATTCCATCATGGAATATCACTGGAAAAACCTTTTCCTTCAAATCTCTGCAATGAAGGCACCTGTGAATGCTGTTAAAGATGATGATATTCCAGAAAGGTTGCCAGAAGCTCCAGCACTTAATGGCCCTTTTGAGAGGGAATCTGTGAGTAAGAGGAAACACATATGCCAATTGCTGGCAGAGGACTAAAATGCACAAGGTTTGCATTAAGAAAAAAAGCATTCATGCTTAGTCCTCTGTAATACAGTAATAGCAGCAAAGAACTTTTTTGGATTTGAAGTAGATGCTGAATAATAAGCCTTTCCTATTTTGAGCATTAACAGATGCTGTGAACGCCAGCAGTTCTCACTACTCAGTGGCTGCCTTGTAACTGTATATGAAAGCTGGGCATGTGAATAGCTACTCTGAGAGCTTAGAAATATTCATTACAAACGAGACAGCAGGCTATGCATATGACCTTGTTTTCTAAAAAATCATTTTTGCAAAATCAAGAGCAAACCCTCTTGCTGTTAAAGTAATTTTCAAGTTTCTGAATTTCTTTTTTTTTTTTTTTTTCCCCAATACTGTTAGCAGGTGGGTTGCTGCCAAACTGAGTTCCCCAGCTGGGATCTGGCAGGAAAGCTAAATGCTTTGACGTATGGTTCCACAGCAGCCTAAACTAAGGTGAGCATTGCCCTGCTGGTCCCAAAAGCAAAACTGTCAGAGCGATAATTGCTTCATTTTGGGAAGAGCACTGGTACTACCATAAGGGAGAGGGTAGGATATGGAGCAGGAAT